TAGGAGTTCCTGCATGGCAGGGGTTGGACTGGATGGCCCTTGGGGTCTTCCAATTCTAGGATTCTATGATTCTACTTCTGGAATGGTTTAAATGGGTTTAGACAGGCAATGCTAACAGCTGTATTACTTTGATACTTCCACATGTGACTCCCATCAACACCATAACCACCACCATCATCATCATACACTGCTTGTGACAGCCAAAAGGTTTTTTTCCCCTATTCACTTTTGGTGAAAGAGCATCTATATCCTCCACTGGCCTAATTTGGCAGTCCCAAATACTCCTTTATCATCCCACTTTTTCAGCTGTTTTAAAGTGGTCCAGATTCTCTTTCATCTCTCACACATTCACCCTTTGTCTTCAGTTTACTTCTGTTGCTGTAAACTGAATTCAGTTAACTCAGCAGAGGGAAGGAAAGAGAAGGAGACAGAATCTTACTTTTCCCAGTACTCTTAGGCAAAAGCAAACTGCTACAGCATCTTCTAGCCTATGTTTTATTCTTCATTCATAATTTTTGCCATCTCGACCATAGTTCAGTGTTGCTTGGCCACACACGTCCTGGTATTCATTTGTGAAATGTTGAAGAGTAAGAACACTGGACTAGACAGAGCTTGGTGTGACCAGCATGACAATTTTAAAAATCCTGTCTCTAGACTAAACATGTCAACTCTTTATTTAAACTTCATGAGTATAGAGGCAGGATGTCTCACTTTTTAATGTGTGAATGGGATGCTTTCATATCATTTCAGATTTTCCTTTAATTGAATTTATTGTGGTAGAAAAATAAGGAGAGAAAGGGCTAGAATATGTTATTTACTGAGTTATTTACTGTGCATGATACTGATGAATAAAAGATAGGTAGTTCAAACTGATGACCTTGTAACCCCCTTCCTTAAGTTTGAAAAGATAGTGTATACATCTAAAAGGAAATAGTGGCTGGTGCAGCAGGTGAATGACTTTCTCAAAACTTCTCCCAGGCATAAGTTGAAATTCTGTGGTGCTATTGGATGTTCATGATTATTTCAAATTCAAGAAAATACAGAATTTTTTTCTTTATAATTTTTTATTTTATTTCAAAGTCAGTGATAAATGAAAAGATATGTATATAAAGACATTACAAAGAACTTAGGTAGAAAACCAACCCATGCTCATTGAGTTAGGAAGTCTTGATAATGATAGAGGTATAAATGAAGGTAAAAATGATTGAGAGATCTGTGATGGATTGGAAGACTGAATGGTTGAAAGAGTGAATTCTATGATTCCTATAAATCTAAATAATCATCAGGTAAACTCAGTTGTGCTGAATGCTGTATTTTTTATGCTGTAAAAAGGTAGGAAAAGAAAATGAAAAGGAAAGAAAAGATAGGAAAAATATGTGCAGTTATCTCATTTTTTTCTTAAATGGTTTGACTTCTCTGGCTGCAGCCTTAACCCTTGTTTATAACCAAGCCAGGTGTCTGCAATGAGGAATTGATTTTTTTTTAAAGTAAATGTGTGTGTCTGTGTGTGAGAGATATATTTGGACTGTAGCAGTGAAAGGGGGCTTTGACCCATTGTCCCAATACTAATTTCCCTAGACATTGCTATTGTTTGCATCAGGTGGGAGAAACCCACTGAAACTAGTGCTGGGATTGTGCTAACTTGACAATGGAATATAATGGAGTCGGCATCTGACAGAGGAAGGGAAAGTTGTGGACAATCCCAGAGCAAACAAATATAGACGCTTTATCTCTTTACACTATTTACTGTATTGAGCTTAAAAATAACTTCCATGTTTGCATTTTTCTACATAGCTTGGGCTGTGGCCCTTTGCCAAGCAATGACATTTGAAAGCCATTGTTACTGCTTTAACACAAACAAGGGAATGTTGTCCGTGTGATTTCATTCTAATGTTGCATTGAAAATTTTCAGTACTAAACAATAGAAGGTGACTATAATAAAGAGTGAAATTAGTAGAGGGATGTCTTCCGCAGAAGACTTACTTGAGGCTGCTATAAATTAGGCACTTGCAGCAAAAAAAAGGTTGGATTTTAAAAAAATTCACAGCTCCCATGGGCCTTTTCACATTACACAGCAATTGCACACATTACACATGATAGCACTGTGAAATGGTGTACCTTATATTACAGTAAATAGCAAAATCAAGGTTTGCTTTTTGGAATATATATATATATATATTTTTTTTTTCAAGCCATGGATGGGCGAATCCATGGATAAAGAATTGGTGGATATGGAGGGCTGATTGTACTTTAACTGCAATGGTTTCATCCTGTACAATCCCGAGTTTGGCAGTTTTTGTTGACTGGCCTCTTAATGAGAGACCGACCTCAAAGCCACCTCTTATCAAAAAGCCCTGTTCTGGTCTTGCAAACTCAGGGCCATAGCTTCCTTCATTGAGTATATCCACTGTAATGTTGTCTTCCTATTTTCCTACTGTGTTCTACTTTCCCAAGCATTATTGTCTATTCTAATGAGTCCTGTCTTCTTACAATATGTGCAAAGTATGACAGTCTCAGTTTAGTCATTTTGCCTTCTAGGGAGAGTTTATACTTGATTTGCTCTAGGATCCATTTATTTGTCTTCTGGCAATCCATGGTACAGTGGGCCCTTGGTATCTCCTGGGGTTTGGTACCATAGATACAGAAATCCATGGATGCTAAAGCCCCATTCAATACAATGGTATCCCTTATATAAAACAGCAAAATCAAGGATTGCTTTTTGAATTTATATATATATTTAATATTTTCAAGCCATGGATGATTGAATCCACGTATAAAAAAATTGTGGCTATGGAGGGTCAACTGTACCTGCAAAACTTTCCTCTAGCACCCTATTTCCAATGAGTTGATTCTCATCCTATTAGCTTTCTTCACTGTCAAGCTGCACTGTACAGAAATTAGAAGTAGGATGGCATGGACAATCCTAACTTTGTTATTCGGTGATATATCTTGGCAGCTTAGGAAGGAATTCTCAGCCAGAGCATTTCTGTGCCTCACCAAACTACAAATACCAGAATTTCGTAGGATGTATCCATGGTAGTTGAAGTGGAATCATAGTGATCTAATTGTGTACTGCACAAGGACCTAATAATTTCCACTATATTACAATGGCTAAGCTGGCTGGGTGATTGTGGACCCTGTACTTCAAAAAAGTAACTTTTTAAAGTTATATGATAATTGTCCTTTGAATTTTAGGAGCTAACAGGGATAGGCAACCTTTCCCCTTTAATGGCCGAGGGACTTCAGCTCCCAGAAGCCTCAGCCATGTTGGCCAATAGTCCCATGTTGGCCAATAGCTCCTGGGATTCTGAGAGCTGAAGTCCCTCAGCCCTTAAAGGGGAAAGATTACCTACCCCTGAGTTAGGAGATAATGTTGTAGCTCCTTTTATCTTCCTTTAAAAAGATATTGATATAGCTAGCTAGCACTCAAATAGGATCTAAGAGCACTTTCACAAGTGATGCTGAAAGTGTCACTTGTCAAACTAGAATATCAAGCATATGGATGTGAATAACATACATTTCAGAGATGAAAACTGTTGCATGTGTGGCCAAGCACTATCAGAGTGTGGTCAGTGTGGTAAAAGTTGTTAATGAGGAAGAGCTGACCAGATAAGGAGAGGCTGCATCAATTTGCTTTTGCCTGAGTATACTGAGAAGGGCAAGATTTCATTCCCTCTTTTCCTCTCCAAGTCATGAGTAAATTGAAAGCAAGTTACTTATATTTGGAGCCAGCATGGTATATTGGTTTGAATGTTGTACTGCAGCTCTGGAGAACAGGGTTCAAATCCCTGCTCTGGCATGAAAACCTACTGTTTAGTAGCTTTGGGCAAGTCAAACTCTTGCAGAGGGCAAACTCCCTCTGTTCAAATCTTGCCTAGAAAACTCTGTGATAAGTTTGCCTTAGGGTTGTCATAAGTTAGAAGTGACTTAAGAGCACACAACAACAACAGGAACCTACTTTTTCACTTTGAGCTCAGTTTGAAGCAAATGAAGTAAACTGAGAACAAAGCAGGAAAGTGGGAGGAGGAGAAGGACAGAAAGTGGGACATCTTAAAAGCAGCTGAAAAAGTGGGACGACAGAGGCTTAATAGGCACTGTCCCTGCCAAAGTTAGGCAGGGTAATTCAAAACAGTAATTTCTAGTGTGTATAATCAATTACCTAATACCCTTTTTGCCACCGACAAATAGCCTCTCTTCTATATTAGAAAATGAGAAGCATTTCTAGAAACATTTATTATTGAATTTGTATGGTCTGAGTAGGTGTAACTTCACTAGCACAGGCAGCATGTCTGTGGTGATACTTATAACGCACCATTCCCCAGTGAAAAGGTGGAGTACATGACTTTTGTCCTTTTCACTTTCAAGTGAAACAAGTTGGTAATGTAAAGCTTGTTGAGAGAAAACGACTGGCCTAGAGTAGCTCAGTTAAGGTTTGAAACTGGATCTCCTAAGTCCCAGGCCAGCAGTGCATGCAACCGCTACCCCCCTACTAGTCATCATTATATATCTGTAACCAGTTGGAAGATGGCTCCTAGAGATGGGACTCCTACTATCACTACCAATCAAAAGCATATGTTCTGTTTTTTCTTTAAAATATTTTTCTAGTAAAAAAAGTCCCTGAAAATTCTACAAACTACATACAAACTCCCTCCTATAATATTGCAGCAGCTGCACTAATAGCATGAAGAGAAACAGAACAAAATTTGTATTGTACATACCTGTGTGTGTGTGTTTAAAAAAATTGGTCTGTTTTGTTATATGAGGTGGCTTTAAACTCTATGTACCATGTTTTGCCACTGGTTGTATGTCTGGTTTCATAATCCCTAGGAAAACTTTCCCCATCTTGCTGCTGTTCAGATATCTTGAACAATATGATATTCATTTTTCAGAAATAGAGCAATCTGCTCTATCTATAATATAGATATAGGACATATAAAGCAGATTAATATATTGTCTTGCAAATACAAATCTCAAGTTATCTCAAGAAATGTAGACTCGTCATGTGTAAAGTGGCAAGAATTTTCTAGTTGAAAACTGCCAGGATTGCTTCTTCACATAGCATCTAGAATTTAGTTGATTTATCTCATCAGTTGTTCATGTGTGCACACACTTTGTATGTTCTGTGTGTATATTGTATTTGTTGAGATACGTTTATATTTTTATCTACAGGCTTCAGGGTTTGTTTTTTTTTAATTCTAGGTTTCACATCCTCACTTTTTGGATTTGGGTTTCTTCTTTTTGTTTTTTTCAGAAATTTTGGCTTTTAACTCCCCCTCCTCAAACATAGCAAATTGTCAGAAATTCTGGGAGTTGTAGTTCAAAACATCTGGTGGGTAAAAGAGAGGGACACAGAAGGACTTCTGTATTGCAGTTCTGTAGCAAAATGTGTTAAGCTTCATCCTTAATTTATTAAGATGTGTTTCCATACGCAGTTCTATATGTAGGTGTGGATCTGAAAAGATGTGAATCATTGAAAACTATCTAGGCAATTGATATATATTTCAGGATTATTTTTACTCATTCAGTTATGTTTAAACATAACTCAGAAGCCACAAGAGTGACTCAGTACAGGAAAAATATTAACATTAATATTTTATTCAGAGATGTAGAGTGCAAAAGTTTTCCAATGCTATTTTTTTCTGTAGATGATTTTCCACATCATGATGCTGTTTATATTTTATCCATGGTTGTTTCTGCTTTTGTACTGCAAGTCTATCACATAATTTTCTTGTCAAGATTTGTTCAAATGGGGTTTTGGGCAGTGCTTTCATCTGGGGCTGAGAGAGTGTGACTTGCCTAAAGTCATTCAGTGGGTTTCCATGGCTGAGCAGGGATTTGAACCATGGTCTCCAGAGTCATTGTCCAGTGCTCAAACCCCTACACCAGGGGTCGACAAGTTTTCCTTACCTAGGGCCAGTCCGCTGGTCCCCAAGTCTTCCGTGGGCAGAGGGTATGTGGGGGGGGAATGGAGCTGCATGCGCGCACACATGTGCAGTATGCCGGAAGTACTCGGAAACAAAATGGCAGCCGCGGCGCGCACGGCGGTGTGCACAGCGGCAGGACCGGCTTGGGGCTGGTCCAAAGGCCTTGGGGGGGCAGATCTGGCCCCCAGGCTGTAGGTTGCCGACCCCTGCCCTACACCATGCTTACATTACTACAAATATTCCAATAAAATAATTTCAACATAACACTTTGAATGTGCTTAAATATAATATTTAACCCAAAATGTGCTGAATCACATAAAATTATTTACAGTATTGGAAAGTGTTCTAGAATTTTTTAAAAATTAAATCTTACTGTAAAGTATATCTGTTTGCCCCTTCTGGGAAACCTGAATCACTGTTTTTAATGAGGGTTTATTTTTTTCTTGCTAAATAAGCTTTTGTTCTTATTTTTCATTCCTTATAGGGCCCCCATCAATTTGCTATACTTCCAGTACTCCTGCCCAAATACTGGGAGAGAGTGACTGTCTTAACACCGATCCACAGCTGTTTGGCAGCAGGCAAGATGGTTCCCCGTTAATGCTTGAAGTGGTTGGTGATATTGAAGGTGAGTCTTGGGATACCAATTGCCAACCTGAAGACTTCTGTTGTGCAGTGGCAGTGAGGTTGGCATTATTTGTATTGGCAGAAGCAGGAAGGATCAGAGTGTAACAGATGTGTGCAGGCTCAATGGGAGTGGTGTGGGCAAGCCATGCCTGGCACTATTTATTTATTTTTTACAATATTTTTATTCAAACACACAAATTTCTATTCATAACATAATGCTTAAACTACAGATGTAACAAAAATAAACAGAACTCTCCATCATAAACACAAATCAGAACCTAATGACTTCCCACCCTTAAGTGAAGATCGTAACTCAAACTGAAAAATATACTCCCCAAATGTAATATCCACATTATACTTCTACTAGAAATACTAATTCTACTAAAATATTAACTACTAATTTGAAAAACCCCAAACTGATAAATTCCATTTTTGTTTCAAAAACAATATAAACATATCCCAATCTTTCTTAAAATTAACCAGAAGCTTCTCTTTAATGAGCAGCTTATTTATTTCAGCAAGTTCATATATCTTCTTGCATTGGAATAGCTGCTTCCTTCCATCTCTGAGCATATGCCAATCTTGACACTGTAGTCATACATTACTACATTCTTCTATATTTTCTTTCAATTCGTCCTTCCATCATTCCTAGTAGATAAAATTCAGGTCTCTTCTGAAATGTCCTCGAGTAGTAGATGAATTTGAATCCAAAATTTCGGAGCTTCATGTCATGACCACCACATACGGTAAATGCCTGGTACTGTATTTAGCACGGGAAAAATATTCCCATCTGCCCCATTGGATTTCTTTTAAAGCTCATTGTTTTCTTAAGGCAAGCTTTCGGGTGGGCTAAACACACCCTCCCTTTGTCCTGCAGTTCCAGAACAATCTCTAATCCTAGTATTAAATTTATAAAATCTCCTGATAGGATTGCTAGCCACCCATTTAATGTAATGTATAGTTTCACCCAGGCTGCAGCCACACTGCAGAAGTTATTCAGTTTGACACCACTTTAATTGCCATAGCTCATTGGTATGGAATTCTGGGATTTGTAGTTTTGTGAGCTATTTAGTCTCTGTCAGAGAGTCCTGGTGCCAAAACAAACTACAATGGCCAGAATTCCACAGCATGGAGTTGTAGTAGTTAAAGCAGTGTCAAACTGGATTATTTCTGCAGTGTGAGGGCAGCCCTTGATGTGTTAGGTGGGAAAGACTTTGTAGTGCTGAAATGACAAGGGTGGGGTGGGGTACACGACAGTCCTTGATTAGACTAGGAACAACTTGATCCCTTTAGACTGCAGACTCATTTCTGGGGAGGACCATATATTGGGAGATGGACTGTACAAAGGAGGAAGGCCACAAGGATATTTGGAAATAAGTGTAAGAAGCATAACATGAAGAATAGAAAGGAAAAAACTGGAGATTTTAAAAGAAAGGGCTTTTAAGAGTTTGCTGTATTGTTTTAATTGTACTGTATTTTAAACTACTTTAAAAAATATTCAGTTGTGTGGATCAAAATGTTTTAGTGTTGTCTATTTCAGTCTGTCTTGGGACAATATAACACTATACTGTTATAGCACTATTATTCTACTTTTAGTTCTACGACTGCTTCCTGTGGAATCCTGGGATTTGCAGTTTAGGGAATAGCCAGAGAGCTCTTAGGCCTCACTAAACTACAAACCCTAGAATTCCACAGGAGGCAGCCATAGTAGTTAAAGTGGAATAATAACGCTATATTGGTGTGGTATGGTATTTAAATAAATCTGTTGTGTTTTTAACAATATTTTGGTGTCCCTGGGGCATTTTAGCCCCAAGATAGACTTTTATTAAAACAGGAAGTGAACATGAAGTGTCTTTTTCACTTCCTGTTGTAAAAACAGGTTTCTCCTGGGCTTAAAATGGTCCCGGGGGGGGGGCATGTTGGAAGTACCCTGTGTACCCAAATGTGTACCTTGTGTACACCGAAAACTCCTTGCCCTTTTCATTGTCTGTCTGTCTTCTTTTCTTTGCCTCAGCTGAAGACTCTCTGTGCAACTTCAACCCTCCAAGCTTCCTCCAGGTCTCAGAGGTGGAAATGAGAGGTTCGGAGGATGTTGCCCCTGGCACTGTGTTACAACGGTTGATCCAGGAGCTGCGTTATGGCAACCCAAACGAGAACATGAACCTGCTGGCCATCCAGCAGCAGGCCACAGGGAGCGCGGGACCATCCAACTCCATTGCCGGCACGCTTTCCTATTCCACGGAAAACCTGG